ACAGCGAAGCGCGCCATGGGTCCGCGCCTTCGTATCTGAAGCCGGTCTGCAGCCGCCTTGGGCCAAAATCGCTGCGGAGGCGAGGAGTGAGCGGCTGGGGGTCGGGGGCCGAGGCTCCCCCGCCTGAGCCTATCCCCGCCTACAGTCCATCGACCACCAAAAAGAGCGCTGCACGAGGAACGAGGCCCTCTTCTTGGCCCCTAAGAGCGAGTGGGGGTGCACGAGAAGCGCTACAGGAACAAGCATGCAAGGACCTTCCGAGCCTGGACCGCTCCCTATGTCAGCGTCTTGGCTGGAGCGTTGCCCCTCGTGGCCCAAGCGAGGGGGACCGGGCCCCAGGACCTTCAGCAAAAAAACTCAGGAGGAAGGGCCGGCCCCCGGGGAAGGCGTCGAGAGACCTCTTGGATGCTCTGCTGCCTGCTTGGGCCCCCCGGGGAGTGGGGGGGGGGGGGGGCGCCTCGAAGCGGCTGGGCTCGCCGCGAGATCCCGCTAGCAGTCCGCACGGAGGAGGAAGGCGAAGGGAACACTGAGGAAGGCGAGGGGAAGACGGATGGAGGAGGCTCGGGCCGGGGAAGAACGGTAGAGGGGGGTTCTCAGCAGCGCGCCCCAGAGGGGGCAGAGGGGACGAGCCTTCTCAGGAGGCTCCGAAGGCCTTCAGCCCCCTGAGAAGCTTTCCGAGCCTTCTCCGAAGCCACGGAGGGCTTCTCGGAGGGCGGGAGGACTTCGCAGAAACTCCGCCGCCTTCTGAGAAGGCCTCCCCCCTCTCCCTTCCCCCCTACGGCGCGCCGCCGAAGCAAGGTTCAGGGTGGGAAGCGGCAGCGTGGCAGCGGCGATGCGCCGCCGATGGATCGGCGATGTGGGCCCCCGAGAGCGGGACCGCAGGATCCCGGGCGGGGAGGGGAGCCCGGGCCCAGGTCGGCGAGGAGTGAGCAGCCCTTTCTCCCTGCCATCGCAGAGCGCCTCATCCGTCGGGCCGAGGCATTCGACAGTGGGCAGAGGTGGCCACGGAGGAGCCGCCGCCACCCCGCCTGCACCGTCGCGGGGCGTGCTCTGTCCCCGGAGTGCCCGCACGCACGCAGGCCCAGAGAGCCCGACGTCGAAGCCTTTGCTTCGCAAAACGCGCCACAGGGTGCTGCTGGTTCGCTCTCGTGGTACGCGGGTATCGAGGGGCCTCTGCCAGGTCCACCCGCGGGCCCCCCCCATCGCTCAGCAGCAGTACATGTAGCATCCGGCGGCCCCCTGCTGCCAGGGGCTGCACGGCACCTGCGCCTTGCAGCTGCAAGACTGCATC